GGAGTGTCTCGGAACCTTGCGGCCGACTGCCGAGAAGAGCGTGTCTCGCGCGGCGCCGCCCGGCGGCAGCGGGCCCTTGTTGGCGGTGTACGAGAGCTTGGGCGGCAGGATGACGCGCCTCCGCCCGCCCGGCCTCATCGTGTGCAGCGCCTCCTCCAGCCCCTGCACGGTGAAGCCGTTCCCGTGCTTTGTGAAGTACGGCGTCCGGCGCTCGTACGACGAGTCGAAGGGCTCGAGCGAGTCGTCGGTCGCGGTGTAGCCGACGTAGTGGAAGCGGATCAGCTGGCCGAACCGCGGCGGCGCGCCGCTCCCCTCTGCAAAGTCAAAGTAGCGCAGGCCCGACGCTGTCTTGTAGCCGACCTGCGGTGCGCTCGCGCCGGCCGGACGCAGCGCCGACGGCCCAGCCGCCGCGATCAGCGGCAGAAGCGCGGCGCGCCGGCTGAGCGATAGAGCCACGGTGCCACGAGCGAGCGCGCTGCTCGAGCTGGCCACCATCTGTGCGAAAAAGAGAAAAGAATTCCGCGAATGGAAACCACCAGCCCCCCAAGGCGGGACGCACTCAGGGACGGTGCCGACGGGACGCGGCTCGAAGGGTGTGGCTCCGCAGCGCGGCTGGCACTCGTGTCTCGTCGCAGAGGCCTCACCTTCGAAAAGTCGGGCATGGCTCCACCCGCAACTTTCTCGCTAACACGCGCGCACCGCCGGTTGCACTGTGCAGTGCACAGCCTGTTGCACGGGTGCGCCGACGACGACCACGGCCTCAGGCTGCACAGCTTGCTGCACGGCGTGCTGCGCAAGAAGGGGCTGTGGGAGCTCATTGGTAGTGGGTGCTTCGTCGTCCAGACTAAGCCCGAGTGCCGGACAGCAATTTAGGTACGTGAACCTAGCAAACCGATGAGCTAGGTGAGCGCAATATGCCCACTGCGCGATGGTGAATGGGACAAATGCACCAAAGAACATCCCTTCATCAGTGATACAGCAAGAGAAATGCTCGGATAGGCCGAGTATTGAAGCAAAGTGAAATCGCTCTTTCATTGCGCCCGCAACAATGACGGTGGTGCCAACCAATGCTGAGAAGACGTTGACAAGAAGAACGAAAAGGAGCACGCACAGGTGGGAGATGCTAAAGAAACTTCGCCCTTTCGTTACAGAGAGAGTCGCATCAGTGAAGAGAG